ACATTGTATGGTGACAGCTGGTGACTACACTTACTGTGGTGTGAGCACTGCATAATGCTTAGAATTCTTAAATTACTGTTGTGGACCTAAAACTAATATAGCACTGTATGTCAACTTTAATAATAAAATTTTTTAAAAATTTTTTAAAAATAAAATTTGCCCTGGCATGAAAAAAAAAATAGACCCATACATAATATGTATTTGGCCAAGTGATTTTTTTAAAAAGTTGCCAGAGTAATTCAATGTGGAAAGGATCATCTTATTAACAAATGGTGTTGAAACAATTAGATACTCATATGTAAAAGAAGAAGAAGAAGCAGAAGAAGAACAAAAACAACAAGAAGAATCTTGACTGTTTCCTTGTAACATACGCAAAGTTTAATATTGTCTTAAAATAGTTACCTTATAGTAATATTATTGTACATTTTACACCAAAATACTAAAAAAAATTAATATGATCAGATGGATCACAGACCTAAACTTAAGACCTTAAACAGTAAAGCTTCTAGAAAAAGCCATAAGAAAAAAACAAAATGAAATCTTTATAGTGTTTGGTTCATAGAGACTTTTATTTTTTATTTTTTAATTGTAATTTTTATTTTTTATTAACGTATACTGTATTATTAGTTTCAGAGGTAGGATTTAGTGATTCAGCAGTTGCATACAACACCCAGTGCTCATTACATGAAGTGCCTTCCTTAATGCCCATCACCCAGTTACCCCATCCCCCCACCCACCTCCCCTCCACCAACCCTGTTTGTTTTCTATAGTTAAGAGTCTCTTATGGTTTGTCCCCCTCTCTGTTTTCAACTTATTTTATTTTATCTTCCCTTCCCCGTGTTCATCTGTTTTGCTTCTTAAATTCCACATATGAGAATCACCCTTTTTATGTGCATAAAAGATTTTACCAGAACTCCATCAAAGAACATATATGAGCATCAATGAGAGTTTTGCTGATGCAAAACGTATTTGTTTTTATAAACAGCTTTGTCTTAATTAGAACAGCCTTATATTAAGTTTCGATACCTCTTTTGGGCTAAACTTCCCACCTTGGACCTGTTGCTTAGAACTGTTATGGCTCTATTTGGCCCAGATGCATTTTAGAATCACTTTGTCAACTTTCATTAAAAACCCTTTTACAATTATGATTTGACTGCATTGATTGTATATTCACGTGAGCAAATTGACATCTTCCAATACTGAGTTTTGTCACTCATGGACATGAAGTGTGTTAGGTTTTCTTTGATGACTTTCGGTTCACCAGTTCACAGGGCTTTTTGGTCCCATGATGGTCTTATGCATCCCTACTTAGAGCTCTCTTTAATACTTTCTAGTTTATGAAATCTTTAAATACTATTATTACTGTTTGCAGTGGGTTTGGGACTGCTGAATGTGAATGTAATTGAGTTTTGAACATGGATCTTATATTCAGCAAGCTTATCACACTCAGACTAGTGCTCATAGTATAGACATTCTCTTCTGTGTAACTCTTACATCAATCAACTCACCTAGATTAGTGTTTACCTTCATTAAAGTTACATATGCATGCGCTTCAAGAGGCAAATAGTTCTATACCTTCTCCATATGAAAACTGGAGCCTCCCGACCTCCCTCTATTTTCCACCTCCCAGAGGCAACCATTTTCCACTCCTCTAATTGATTTTTAACTGATTCTTCTAGATTCTATTGCCAGATCTCATAGAGCATGCTTACATTGTCTCAGCTTGACTTCTCACCCATAGGCATTATTCACTAACCTCCCACTCTGGATGATGGAGATTCAATGCTTTGTTACTATAGACCTCACACCACATGTACGTATTTCTACCCCACCACCTTAATATTTTATTTTGGATTACATCATCGTCAGTATCCACATTATAATGGCAATGACATTGTGTTTTATAGCTTAATCCTTTTTTTCTTTCAAGATTATATTTGAAGTTAGTTCACATATAGTGTAGTATGAGTTTCAGCGGTAGAATTTAGTGTTTCACCAGTAACATATAACACCCAGTGCTTATTACATCAAGTGTCTCAACCTTGTAGCATTCCCAGCTTTTGTTTGTGTTGATCCGCTCATGTGTATTTTGTGCAGCCACCACCATATTCAGGGTACACAACAGTTTCATGGTCTCAGAGCTTACCCTTGTGCTAGCCTCTCTTAGTGACAGCCAGCCCCACCACCCAAACCTCTGGCACATGCCAGTCTGTTCTCTATAACTTCGAGAATGTTGTGGAAGTGGAATCACACAGTGTGGACATTTTGAGATTGATTTTGTTCACTCCACATGATGCCTTTGGAAACTTACAAGTTGTGCACATGCAGATAGTTATTCCTTTTTATCGCTGAGTAATAGTTCCTGGTAGGAATGCACCAGTTTGTTCAACCATTCACTTATCACTGGCCATTTTGCATGTTTCCAATTTTTTTCCATTACAAAGAAAGCTGCTCTAAAATTTCATGCAGAGATTGTGTGAAGCCATGATCTTCATTTTGCTCAGTTAAATGCCTGGGAGTGTGATCTCTGGGACACAAAACCCACTTCTTCTCCTGGAAGAATGGAGGAAATGATGCTTTTTGTTGGAGGCAAGCACACAAAACTTCTCTCTTTTTTTTAAGATTTTATTTCTTTTTTAAGTAATCTCTGCACCGAACTTGGGGCCCAAACTCACAAGAGCAAGATCAAGAGTTGCTCACTCCACCAACTGAACCAACCATACATCCTAAGCACATACAATTTCTGAGGTCCACACTTCACTGTGCCTGTGGGCTAAGTTTACCATTCCATCAATAAAGGGTTGGAATAGAGAGTCATTTCTGGAACAGACTTCATTCAACCCCAAAATTTTTTAGGCCCTGACAAACCCATTTTCATCCAGCTCAGCAGCTCTTGGTGGAGGCTGGTGCAGAATGAGGCCACAAGCCAGCCACCCCCAAGTGTCCTGGGCTCAGGAGATGGAGCACAGACCCAATTGCAGCTGTTTCTTGGCTTGGGCCTCCCAAGTGGAGAATCCCCATAGACCTCAAGATGGGGGGAGGGGCCCAGTGCAGAAAGCAGAGGCCCCAGGCGGGCAAAAAGCATCAGTTCTGCTGGGCCTGTCCATACTCTCTGAAATGTAAGAAGAATTACTTCCAAATTTTTTCTTGTGATTGAGTTCCAGCAACAAAGCATTGTGGTCTGAAAATATACAGGGAATAATCTCAATCTCTTGGTATCGGTTAAGACCTGATTTGTGACCCAGTGTGTGGTCTATTCTGGAGAAAGTTCCATGTGTGCTTTAGAAGAATGAGTATTCTGTTGTTTTAGGGTGGAATGTTCTGTATATATCTATGAGGTCCTTCTGGTCCAGTGTGTCATTCAAAGCTCTTGTTTCTTTGTTGATTTTCTGCTGAGATGATCTGTCTATTGCTGAGAGTGGAGTGTGGAGGTCTCCTACTATTAATGTATTATTATCAATATGTCTCTTTATTTTGGTTAACAGTTGGCATATATAATAGGCTGCTGCCATATTGGGGCATAATATTTACAATTATTAGACCCTCTTGGATCTATCCTTGTGGGATAGACCCTTTAAGAATGATACAGTGCCCTTCTGTATCTCTAACTACAGTCTTTAGCTTAAGATCTAATGGATGAAAGACCTCAATGTGAGACAGGAATCCATCAAAATCCTAGAGGAGAACATAGGCAGTAACCTCTTCGACATCGGCCACAGCAACTTCTTTCAAGACACATCTCCAAAGGCAAGGGAAACAAAAGCGAAAATGAACTTGTGGGACTTCATTGAGATAAAAAGTTTCTGCACAGCAAAGGAAACAGTCAACAAAACAAAGAGGCAACCTACGGAATGGGAGAAGATATTTGCAAATGACACTACAGATAAAGGGCTGGTATCCAAGATCTAGAAAGAACATCTCAAACTCAACACCCAAAAAACAAATAATCAAGTCCAAAAATGGGCAGAAGACATGAACAGACACTTCTCCAAAGAAGACAAGAAATGGCTAACAGGCACATGAAAAAATGTTCATCATCATTAGCCATCAGGGAAATTCAAATCAAAACCACATTGAGATACGACCTTATACCGGTCAGAATGGCCAAAATTGACAAGGCAAGAAACAAACAAATGTTGGAGAGGTTGTGGAGAAAGGGGAACCCTCTTACACTGTTGGTGGGAAATCAAATTGGCACAGCCAATCTGAAAAACAGTGTGGAGGTTCCTCAAAAATTTAAAAATAGAGCTACCCTATGACGCAGCAATTGCACTATTGGACATTAACCCCAAAGATACAGATGTAGTGAAAAGAAGGGCCACATGCACTCCAATGTTCATAGCAGCAATGTCCACAATAGCCAAACTGTGGAAAGAGCCGAGATGCCCTTCAACAGATGAATGGATAAAGAAGATGTGGTCCATATATACAATGGAATATTACTCAACCATCAGAAAGGATGAATGCCCAACTTTTGCATCAACATGGATAGAACTGGAGGAGATTATGCTAAGTGAAATAAGTCAAGCAGAGAAAGTCCATTATCATTATTTCACTTACATGTGGAACATAAGGAATAGCGTGGACGACATTAGGAGAAGGAAGGGAAAAAGGAAGGGGGGAATCAGAGGGGGAGATGAACCATGAGAGACTATGGACTCCGGGAAACAAACCGAGGGTTTTGGAGGGGAGCGGGGTGCAGGGGATGGGTGAGCCCAGTGATTGGTATTAGGGAGGGCATGTACTGCATGGAGCGCTGGGTGTTATACGCAAACAATGAATCATGGATCATTACATCAAAAACTAATGATGTAATGTATGGTGACTAACATAACATAATAATAAAAATAAATTAATTTTAAAAAAAAGTAAGAGGCCCTTCTCACCATGTGAGGCCTTCTCTGCCTGACTTCTGTTTCACAATCCAGAAACAGATTGCTGCCCCACAGCCATGTCACTGCATCATAGACGCTTCCTCTTATATCACGGGAGGGGCGGGTTTTTCTTTCCACAAAACAGAGTCCCCATCTTCCCGCAGAGAGTGTGATCCTCAGGCCTCCACAATGTCAGCCCCTGCCTCCAGGCCCTGCCTTCCTTATCTGCTGCTGGCTCTGCTGTTGGGACTCACAGGTAAGCATTGCCTTGGGGGAGACTCCCCATTCCCTGCCTCCTCAACTTCTCCCTGCTCCTGGATATTTAAGGCCTCCAGGTAAGCACAGGTGTGCTACCCAGATCCTTCATAGAAGGCCAAGGACTGGGTGTCATCTGAGAGCATGAAGTCAGGGATCTGAGCATTTCCTCTATGGATCCATCACCTGCAGCTGGTTACCAGAAGCATCCAAATAGTCGATGCAATTGGTAACAATGACAACTTTGTGTGTGTTCATTGATCTAATATTCACAACATCCTTGCCTGATAGCTCAGACTGTACTCCTGATTTGCAGATGGGGAAACTGAGGAGGAGAGAGGAACCAGCCCAGTGTCACCTCCCTGAGTCAGTGGAGCAGCTGGGATTCCTGTCCAGGCCACTCAAATCAACAGTTCATTCCGTTCCCCATCTTATGCTGCTTGGCTCCTCAGTGGAGGCTAATTGCAGATACATCAGAAAACACAGGGAGGCCAACAGAAGAATAGCCATCACTTATCACACTCAGAGGTCTCCAGAGTTCCACTTATGCTGTATGTACTCACCAACTTTTGTTAATGATGCGCTGGATGTTTCCAATATGCCAAAATTGTTACTGAAGTTTAACATGTATTATAATTTCACTTAATCCTCAAAACAATCTGTATACTAGCATGCTAGGCTACACTTTACATAAACAGGGAATGAACTTGTGTGTGTGTGTGTGTGTGTGTGTGTGTGTGTGTGTGTGTGTGCGTGCACGCATAGGAGTGGGCATAGGGAAGGGTTCACCCGTGCATGTGCCCACAGACATGGGATTTTTGAAAACACTTTGTTTTTTCTCCTCATATCACATCCAGTCTATGTGAGATGCACATTGAACTGATGTTTGGTTCCCTATCTCTCAAGTACTCACCCTCTTTTTTAATTCTCTAAACCTACCTCTCACCCTCTACCAAGCTCTTAAGTTAAACAAATTTCTCTCTTGGTAAAACGCATAGAATCTTGTGCATTACTACCTTAGAGATCCTTCCATGCAGTACTCAAGTGGGCAGGGAAAGAAAGGAATAAAAATTCGGAGACTCCTGCCTGTGTGATCTGTATCTATAATTATATCCATATGCATACCACGATCCCAATCATCTAGTGTCCACTGATATTTCCATGCCTCAGGAAATCTCATGAGTGATAACTTTCTAAATTCCTGAGCATTCACCATGTGCCACACACACCTGGAAATGCCTATGTCCATTATGTCCTGTGATCTTTGCATCCAAGGTTGACATTCTTGTCACCCCTACCTTACAGATAAGAAAAGGAGGCACAGAAAGGTCCAAGGTTACTCAGTATAAATGGTAGGGTTAGGATTTGAACCGAGGCAGTCTGATTCTGGATCTCACAGGTCCAACCATTGCTCTTTTCAAACCCTAGGGCCCCACCTCCATCCCATGAGATTTCTGCAGATCTTCTAATCAGTGTGGGGAAGGGTTTGGTGTGGTGAAGAATGTTTGTACTTTGTTTTCTCAGGTGACTCTGCTTTCTGGGTATATGCAACTGTTTCTTTCCTCCAAGTCATCAATGTGGGAAACTCAGCTTCTGATATAATGTCCTGAGAATTTCTCCACTGAAAATAGACTTCCTGGTGTCAGATAGGGGTCACATTGGGCAATTCACACATTATACAAATATTAACTATATACCTACTAGGGGACAAGTACTGTTACGTGAACGTAGGGCATATTGATGAATAAAAGAGGCAAAGTAGTTGCCCTCAATAGGAGTCCCATCATAGTGGAGGAAAGGACAGGAGACAATAGACACAACAAATCAGTAAATAACACAGAATACAGAAAGTGAGGAGTGTGAATGAAAACACATGACAGTACAGCTGGATATGACAATGAGAGAATCTTCATGGTAAGACGTATTTGAACGGGCAGCCTGGGTGGGCACCACTGAGAAGGTAGAATTGAGCAAAGATTGTAAGAAGGTGGGGGAGTGAGCCATGTGATATTCTGGGTCTTGGAAGAGCCTTCCTGCACAGCATGAAAGTAGAATCCTCTTGCTCTGCTCAAGGATCTGGGCTTTTATTCCGAATGAAATATTGGCTATTAAAAGGTTTGGAAGACAGAAGTGACATGATCTGGTGTGAGTTTTAGAGTATTCTAGGATTTGTTTGAGAATGGAGTACCACAGGGCATAGACAGAAGCAGCTAGAGCACTCAAGAGCTCATTGCATCCAAGCAAATGAGGAAATGCACCAAGACAGCAGCCAGGAGGAACGGGAAAGTGGTCAGATTGTGGGTGCATGCAGCAGGGGAGCCCTTAGGTGTCCTGGTGCATAGGACTTGAGGTGGGAAAGAAAGGCACCCAAGGGTTGGGACCTAAGCATCTGGGAAAATAAAGGTGCCTCAGCTGAGATATGCAAGCATGTGTGGGAAACTGAGTTCGGTTTAGGACATGTTACTGTGACAGGTTTACTTCTATCTAAGAAAAAAGTCAAATGGTGTTTGGACATACAAATCATAGTTCAGGGGCAAGGCCTGGGCCAGAGATGGAAATAGGAGGATTATAGATACACAAATGGTAGAGTTTTCCCCTTGCCTTGGCCCCTCTTGACTCTCTGTTCCCTCTGACCTCTTCCCTCCCATGTTCCTTCATTTCTCCCTCCATGGTGCATTCCTATTTCTTCCCATTTTTGTCCTAGCAGTTCAGCTTGCCGACCCCAATCTTCTTCTCCAGACTTAGAGACCAAAGTACATGTGTTCTTGGCACAACCAAGACCTGCCTGTAATAGCACATGCCCTCCTTAGGAGGATATTTGGTTGCAAATAATACTAAGAGCATGGGTTTTACCAGCTCACACTCTGCAAGGGTGAACCACAGATTTTCTCCCTGAGGAGTAGTTAAGAAATGGAAAAGAACACTGGGTGTATGAGTCATGACACAGCAGTCTGCTCCTGTGATTTAAATCCCTGCCTGGTTTTTAGGACACTTCAAGTAAGAAGGAATGATTTCATATTTCTTGATTTCTCTAGACACTGGCTAGTCACCAAGGCAGGAAACCCAACTGCAAAGTCAGACCTGCTCTGTGCCACATCACTGAGTGTCTCCGTGTCTTCATCCTCATTTGTGATACGGTCTCACGTTACAGGCTCGTGGTGAGGGCTCCATGCCACATACGTGCAATGTGCCGAGGTCACGGCCCGCTCACGATGTGCACTCAGTGAGCTGTGGATACACACGTGAGGAGACATCCAGGATCACGTCAGGATGATCTTTGTTTTCCCTCCAGGTGTGGCAGGTGAGCCGGAGCTGCAGGTGATCCAGCCTGAGAAGTCAGTGTCTGTCGCAGCTGGACAGACAGCTACTCTGCGCTGCACCCTGACCTCCCTGCTCCCCAGTGGGCCGGTTGAGTGGTTCAGGGGAACAGGGCCAGCCAGGGAGTTAATCTTCAGTTCCAGAGGGGGCCACTACCCGCGAGTGACAAATGTTGCAGACACCACAAAGAGAAACACCACGGACTTTTCCATCCGCATCAGTAACATCACCCCAGCAGACAGCGGAACCTACTACTGTGTGAAGTTCCAGAAAGGGACCCCTGATGTGGAGTTTAAGTCTGGACCAGGCACCCAACTCATAGTGAGCGGTGAGTATAACCTGGACGTCCTTTATCCCCTGGTTGTGACAACAAGTCAATAAGAATGCACTCCATTGTAAGGATTGGGTGTTGTGGTGGGTGCCCCTGACTTCAGCCCCTTCCATAGATCAGGGAGTTGAGGCCTGGGGAGGTCATGCTATTTGCTCAGGTTCACTCGGCTGGGAAATGGTGGAAGTCCAGTCTGCAGGCTCCACTACTCTTACTTTTTCCAATCCTCAGCAGTCCTCCAGGTCCAGGAACGAAGGACTAATAATTTGAGTGACTTGCTCAGTCGTATGGCCCAATGTTACTCCTGCCTCCAGAGCGATCCCCTCCATGTGGCTGACTCCTCTACTCAGCACTTACTGAGCACCTGCTGTGTGCAGGCTCCGCTCTGGGTGCTGGGGAATCAGCAGGGAACAAAACAGGCAACAGCTCCTCTGTCATGAAGCCTACATTCCCTTCCCTTCCTGTGGACGAATGCACTCAGGACAGGGAGGTGGGACAATGTCTTTCTTTCTTTCACCTCTCAAAGAATCACAGTGAGAAGAGGCACAGGCTCACTGTTTACTCTGAGAGCCCAGGTTAGAGAAGATGCCAGAGGTTGGGCATTTGTTGTGGGTCTTCCAGAAAAGCTTCATGCAATTTAGGGACTGACTCACATAATAGTAACTGAAACTCCCCACAGCCCCTGGACATAGGCATGAAGGTGGCTGTATCCTGATTGTGCAGGTGTTACAGAAGTTCCCAGGGATAATTCCCATGCCTGGGCACCAGCACTAGTACGTGGCTCCACCACCAGGCAGATCTGTGCCTCCTAGGAGAACACTCCTTCCTCTTCCCCAAGCTGCCCACACAGCTGATGCCCTGGATGAGAATGGATGGAGTCAGAAGGGACCATCTCAGCCCCTTTTACAGATGAGGACACTGAGGCTCAGCAGAGATGGCCTGAGCAGGGAAGGAAACCACAGCCTGGCTCACAGCCCTGCTCTCTGCACACTCACTGTGCTGACCAAAGTGGGAGAAAGTTCCAACCCTGTCCTTGAAACTCTTGTAAATCTTGTTCTCTTTTTCAGCAGTAAGCATTAAGAAAACTCACAGGGAGAGGTGGGCTAGCTTTGCACCCCCAGATCAGACAGATATGCAAACATCTTGTAAAGTGTTGAGCCTGTTCCTGGAGGGCATGGCTCCTCACATGTAGGAGCATCAGGAGTCTTTCCCTGTTGTGTGGTGTTGCTCCTTCACTGAGCAGCCTGAGGCAGGAACCTGGACAGAACAGAGGGGCTGGACAATCCCAGCAACACTGGGCACCCCATTCTTGGCTCTGCAGACTGAGGATGACTAGGAGGCACATTCTGGAGGGTGTTTTGGGTCCCCTGAGCAAGAATGCGTATTCTAGACTCAGCTGTCGGGACTCCACATCTTCCCTCTGTTGTAACAGATTTAGCAGGTCTGTGCACCCTGAGTGACCCCTCCCCATAAGTGCTTGCTTGCAGTGGAGAATCTCAGAGGGAGTAGGAGGGTGGCAGGCACTGTCAGGCTGGAGAAAGTGAGACACTTGCTCTGTCATGGATGAAACACATGGAGGCCACAGGAAGTCCCCCTGGGAGGCAGTGGGGAGTGAGGAGCAGCCCCTTTGTAACTGGCCAAAGTCGGTTGGCTCCTTGGTGAGGTAGAGACAGAGACTACCCAGGGGGAGCGCTGGTACCCACAAAGTTGTCTTTATTTGTACAGGTAAGGGATCACAGGGAATAATTTCCAAAGCCCTGATGCTAAACAGGGGCAAGCAGGCTCTATTGAGTAGGGTTGGGATGAATATTCCGAGGGGGATTTTAACAGTATAATGAGGCTGAGGTTACTGTCAACCATTTTCTGATTCATCTGCTGCTTTCCATCTGCATTTCATTGATAAATTCTAAGCAAAACTGCTTGTATTCTCTTACTTGCCCCTCCCTGCAACCCCGGGAAAGAGAAAGGCATGCTGTCCCATGTCACAGAGGAAGAGCCACGCGGTGCCACGGCCACACCTCCCGTGGGCTGGCCAGCCTGGTCCTGGCTTCCATGGGGGTCCCGCTCCACCCCTACTTCCCCCTGCAGGGACTGCTGCACAGGGTCTCTGAACTCAGTGAGGTTTGCAGGGAGGCGGCTAGGATGGTTGATACCAAGAGTGAGACCCATCAGAAATGTCATTCCTGTGCCCAGATCAGTGGGAAGTCACCTGGCAGAGACCAGAAGGGGGACTTGAACTCCGGCCTGGAACTGCACCTGGGCCCTGCTCCCCGACTCAGAGTTCAGCTCTGGAACCTCGGGTCCTCCTCTGTGGGATGAGGAGATGACACGGCCCTCCCCACATGATCAGAAGGGCAGAAGGTTCTCCACAGTGTCACACACATACCCTTAGTGCTGATGACCACAGTCATGCTTACTGTTCATAAATGCTCCTCTTGTAGCCAAACCCTCTCCCCCCGTGGTGTCGGGTCCCACGGCCAGGGCCTTGCCAGAGCAGACCATCAACTTCACCTGCAAGTTCCACGGCTTCTCCCCCAAAAACATCAACCTGAGATGGTTCAAAAATGGGAATGAGCTGGCAGCCTCCCAGACCACCGTGGACCCAGAGGGAAACAGCACTTCTTACAGCATCTCCAGCACAACCAGGCTGGTGCTGGCCCCGGGGGATGTTCGCTCCCAAGTCATCTGCGAGGTGACCCACGTGACCCTGCAGGGGGGCCCTCCTCTTCGTGGGACTGCCAACTTGTCTGAGGTCCTCCGAGGTAGATGCCCCTCACCCCCAGCCCAAGTCCGGGTCTGGCCCCCAAGTCTCCGAGCCTGCCCCTCCCCCCACTCTCTGCCCCAGGCGGTCCATTGCCTGGACCCCAGGGATCCAATGACAGACCCTCCCAATCACCCTGCGTCTAGATGTTCACTCACCTCCTACTGTTTTCATGATAGCTGCCTGGTGAACACCTATCATGTGCCAAGCACTCTGCTAGGCAGTTTACTTTACCATAGCAATTCCAGTTATTGAGCACCTACTGTAATCCAAGCCACCGTGTGCTTGGTGATTTCATTTATTTTTCTAGTTATTCTATTCCAACTACATGCCATAGGCTGAGTATCTTGATTTCACTCATTCTTACCCTAATAGGAGATACAAGTCCTTGAGCACCTACAGTGTACTGGGCACTGTGCTTAGGAATTTCATTCATATGCAAAGACTATACTCAGTGTTTTTGCACCAGCTGCATACCTAGCACTGTTCTGGGTGATTCTTTTGCTGTGTCATGTGAGCTAAGTTCTGGAGCCCTTCCCCTGTGATCTGTCTATTCCATAAGGTCAGAGCTTCTGCTCTATGCTGTTTCAGTTCCACCCATCTTGGTGGTTTCCCAGCAATGCATTGCAGAGAACCAGGTGAAGGTCACGTGCCAAGCAATGAAGTTCTACCCCCAGCGCCTACAGCTGACCTGGTTGGAGAACGGAAACGTGTCCCGAACAGAAACGACCTCAAGCATCACAGAGAACAAGGATGGGATCTTTAACTGGATTAGCTGGCTTCTGGTGAATTTATCTGCCCTCACAGAGGAGATGGTGCTCACCTGCAAGGTGAAGCATGATGGCCAGTGGGTGGTCACCAAAAGCCATATACTGGAGACCTCTGCCCACCAAAAAGGCCAGTGTACAGATGGAAACTCTAGTGAGGCTTGTGCCACATGATCTGGCATTTAAATTTTACCTTTTGTTTTTTTTTTATGTGAAAAGTAGTAATTCATGCTTATAATAGAATAATCCAGAAGTCTATAGATATAAACTAGAATTTTGATGTGAGCTCCTTTCTCCCAAAACCCACATTCCAGGATGATCAATGGTAAGACTTGATATACTTGTAGATCTTTTGACATAAATATGCATTAGCGAAAGGAAGAAGAGAGGGAGGGAGATGATCTTGTTGTTAGGGTCCTGCCTCCTGCTTCTTCACCTGACAGTGATTACGTCACAATGCCAGACCAGCTAGCCCCTCCTCTTGTTCTTCTCAACTGGGTGTGATTTTTATTCCTTGTAGACTTTTTCATCATCATCCCAGCAAATACCTCGTAAAACCAGAAGTATGCAGAAGTTGCATCGTGTCCACTAACGACTTAGTCATGGATGCACATCTAGTCGCAAATGGAATCCACAATTCTGTAGTCATGTGATTAATGACATTGCTTTGTCTACAAAACCAATACGATTACACACTTCATAAAATTAACAATAATTCCCTCATATCATCTAAAATGGAATATATATTCCGATTTTCTGAAACATCTACTATAACTTTATTTTCTGCATCTAACTTGGTTTTAGTTCATCTGTAAATGCTTGAACGAGTTTTCCTGTGAAACACCTGGGCCTCCATAATTCTTTTGTTGATTTGAAAAGAATCTGAATGGCTAGGGCTACTCAAATTCTTCTTTCATATTGGATGCTCATGCCAAGTTGTGCTTTTGAGGAATTCGGTCCATTTTCTCTGAGTTGTCAAATTTCTGCCCATAGAGCTGCTCATAATATTACCTTGTTATCCTTAATGTCTGTAGGGTCGGTAGTGATATCCCGTTTCATTCTTCATATTGGAAATGTGTCATTTCTTATAGTGTTTGTTGTCAAAAATCCTAGAAGTGTTTCAAATTTACCAATCTTTTCAAAGAATCCACTTTTGTTTCAGCGATTTTCTCTATTACTTCTCTTTTCAATTTTATTGTTTTTTCTTTTCTTTTCCCCCCTCCTTTTATGCATTTTTAAATTGTGCCTGACCCTTTTATTCATATCTGTCCTTTTAAAATTTCCATGCCTCTCTGTATTTTTATTGCTGCTGTAATAATTAGCACACACTTAATAGCTTAAAACAACACACATTCATTAACTCCCATCGCTAGAGGTATAAAGACTAAAATAGGGTGGCAGAACTGCATTCCTTCTGGGGGCTCTGTGGGAGTCTGTGTCCTTGCTGTTCCAACTCCTAGAAGCAGCCCCATTCCTCTGCCAAGGCCCCTGCATGCACTAACCTCTGCTGTGGTTGTCATGCCTCTTGCTCCCACTTTCCGGCCTCCCTCCTTCACTTTAAGGGTCTCTGTGGCTCCAATTCCCATAGTCCAAGATAACGATCCCCTCAAGACCCTAGCTAATTACCATGCAGTTGCTCTTGCAGGGTAAGATACCATATTTACAGATTCTGGGGGTGCCAGCCCAACCCTCTTGGGCCAGGCATACTTTGGAAGGGGTTTCAAATCTGTGTCTGGACCACAGGACACATTTCCAGTATTTTCTAATTTAAGCTGGATTTAATATTGTTGAAGGGATTTCCAAATAATTCTCAGGTTCCTTGGCTACCTGCCCTTGTCTGTTTCTCCTGCCCTTTCCTGTGGCTGATGAAGGTAGCGGGGCAATCACATAGGAAATTGTGCATTTGAATTTCATGATTTTTCTCTTTTTCTCCCAGAGATTTCACAGTTTGGGCATTGCTCTTCAAGGATTACTGAGAACCAGTTTTCCATAGAATTTACTGTCCTTTTATTGTTTTTTCTTTGAGTTAAGAGGCTATATTCCGAGATGAGTAGCTAAACTGTTGCCTTGTCCTCACCAGCCAACTAGCACCTTGTGGGCTTTGAATGCCTTGGCCCCAGTGTCCCTATCCCACATTTCAGTATGTCTTTCCCATGTTTCCCATCACAGCCCTATTTTGGCAAACAGGTGCCCTGTAGCCGAGAATTCAATCCTCTCTGTGGCGCTGATGCTCTTATGATTATATCGGACCCAATTATGTCCTCAAGCTTTTTCTGCCCTTCAGCTCTAGGAGGTAACAGTCTACAATGTTGCCTGGAACTCTTCTGACGTTCACAAAGAACTTTTCCTGTGTGATCAATTGGTCTTCACATTGTATTGTCTTTCTGTGAAGGACTGATGCCCAGCAATAGCCACCCAACCTGTAGTTCTTATAATAATCAACTCATTACCAGAATGCAAGGATACTCCCCTCCTCTGCTTATACCAACCCAGGTCACCACAGTGAGGTTTCAGCAGTGACAGTAGCAGGGCAAACTGGGACCTACCCTGCTCTACCTCCCATCAGGGCTGGGGACATCTTGGCCAGCCAGCTGAGAGAGACCCATGTCCAACAGTGCCCATTAGAGCTGGCAATCCAAACCCCTCCCAGACAAACCCTACATGTCAGCTTCCCTGGAAGCAGACTCTAAGATGATATGAGAAGAGAGAAAGCTCACTGTGGAGTATTGCTAATCCACATTTGTGAGAAAGGGAAGGAGGCAGGACTGGCAAAGGGAGATGTTAAAAACAGTGCAGTACAGCAAGACTCAGCCTCAGACAGAGAGCTGGCATGCTGGATGCTCTTTTTGAGTATATTAAATCCAGCAGAGGGGCTAAGCCTCTGTATCCCCACGTCCTCCAGACCTCTGCTGAAGGCTGCCCTCTAGAAGCAGGTGCAAACATGGGCAATACAGCTCTTTCAACTGAGAAAAAGTCCAGAGGGCCACCCAGCAGAGATCTGCCATCCTCTAATATGCCAGGGGCAAATATGGTGAGCTCTCTGCTCCTTCCTTTAAAATTATCCCATATATTTCAAAAATTATTTCAATTTCTTTGAATAATATAAAAACAAAAACCAGTCATTGTAAAAAGTTAAAGAATCTGAAGCTGTATTTACAGATCCAACCTCTGTGTCAAACAGAAAGATGTCAGCTGACATTGGCACTGGGGTCCAGGTGGCCTGGATGGTGTTTGAAACCCTCCTGAGCATTAGACCCCATTTCCTTGCCTCCCTGGTGTGTTGTCCAGCCAGCAGTTCTCCTCACCTTTGTACATAGAGTCTTTAAGCCCTGTGCATGGAGCAAAGCAGGGCAGCCTTGCCTCTCACTGACCATGACATCTATTCTCACTCCACTTGAGGCCAGGCTGACGTTTGTCCCTATGACCCGCAGAGTTTGGATTTGTCTTGGTCCAAAGACAAGGTCCCAGAATCATCCTGCAGGATAGCAGTGAGGAATATCCCTGGGTCTGAACCACCTCATCTTTTGACCCTCTATAAACTATGAGCCTCTTTCCTCATCAGATAGAGGGTATACGACCTACCCAATTGGGTGTGAGGACCAAGCAGTAAGCCAAAATTACATGTTACTGAGTGCTCATTCTCCCCATCTCTTCCCACCTGGCAGTAAGAAAGGGATGAGTGATTGAAGAACTTCTTACGCCAAATTCTGCCTTGAGCCTGATCACAGGGGAGGATATTAATGACCTCCAGAGCATTAATAAGTTTGAATCACCTGGGATGGAGTAAATGGAGGCCCCTGGGAATAGGACCTAGATGCCTACTCTGATGGTGCCTCCTATCTCTTCATTTCCAGACCCAGAGCTGTCTACGCTACTCCTGGTAGCTGTCACTCTGGGCCCAAAGCTGCTGCTGCTCATCACTGTCTCTGCCATCTATGCCCACAGAAAGAGAAGATCTGACTGTAAGTTGTGGGTCAGGGATGGCAAGCAAATTTCAGTCCCAGAAGGAGCCAGGTCAGGAAGATGGGCAACGCACAGGTCACACAAGGTCAGCACCCACCTGGAGTAAAGAGCAGGGCACATCTATCTCCATACCCTCAGGAATCTCTGGTATCCCTCTGAGATGTTCCAAACTCCCAAGAAACATGTGGGGATCTGTAGGAGGTGGGTGGAGTCAAAGGCTATTAAGGGATTTGCACAGGGTCCTAGGGATTCTGGGAAGGAAGTGGGCAGAGGGGCTGAATGAGAGGCAGCTAGGTGGGAGGAACCCTTGGAGACAATCTCTAAATTATTTGAGCACTGGTGTCCTTTGGGTGCAAGGAGTCCACATCTAAGAGAATGCTGACAGGTGCCAGATGACGGCTCTAAGGATGGCTCCTGCCTGTCCCTCTGTGGGACAGACAAGAGGGAATGGGGATGGGGATCAGGCCCTAAGGGATGAAGGCTTAGGTGGCAGAATCCTATATCAGGGGCTGCCTGTCCTCTCACAACAGGTGTCCCAGGAGGAAAATAGCACCAAGGACATAGGAGACACATGGGGAACATTTCTGGAATGATGAGCAGATAATTAACTGTGGTGAACATGGGTCCTACGGCACCTACCTTCCTCCCCTGCTACATGCCACCCTCAGTGTCTGCTGCCTCCTTCCTTCCCTGAGGGATCCAGCCTAAGAGAAGGAACAACTAGAAGCTTCCACAACAACCCTGCTCCAAATGCCTTGCTTCCCCCAGAGACCCAGCTGCCCACACCTCCTGCTGCTCCTTCTCAGAGTCTTTGATGCTCCCAGAGCTGGGTCTTCATATCAGATCCTCAGCAGGGACCATGGGAACTTGCTCTGGGGACTGATGCAGAGACTTGTGAGAAACAAGTCACATCTACACAGACCAGGTATCTCTCATCCATCTCCTGGAGACTGTGGCCACGAACTACACACTTATGTCCATGCTTTCAGGAGTTATTCCTGCCAAGCCCCAGCCTCCCAGCCTTGGTTAGGTTCTCCATTGGGTCTTAATAGAAAGCATCCGAGGTATCTTATGGTTTTTGGTGCTATTGTAAATGGAATCATTTCCCTAATTTCTCTTTCTACAGTTGCATTGTTAGTGTATAAGAAAGCAACTGATTTCTGTGCATTGATTTTGTATCCTGTCACATTACTGAATTGCTGCATGAGTTCTAGTAATTTGGGGGTGGAGTCTTTTGGGTTTTCCACATAAAGTATCATGTCATCTGCAAAAAGAGAGAGTTTGACTTCTTCTTTGCCAACTTGAATACCTTTTATTTCTTTTTGTTCTCTGATTGCTGTTGCTAGGACTTCTAGTACTATGCTGAGCAATAGTGGTGAGAGTGGGCATCCTTGACGTGTTCCTGATCTTAAGGGAAAGGCTCCCAGCTTTTCGTTATTGAGGATGATATTTCCTGTGGGTTTTTCATAGATGGATTTTATGAACTTGAGGAATGTTCCCTCTATCCCTATACTCTGAAGAGTTTTAATCAGGAAAGGATGTTGTATTTTGTCAAATGCTTTTTCTGCATCAATTGAGAGGACCATACAGTTCTTCTCCCTCATCTTATTAATGTGTTCTATCACATTGATTGATTTGCAAATGTTCAACCACCCTTGCATCCCGGGGATAAATCCCACTTGGTCGTGGTGGATGATCCTTTTAATGTTTTGTTGGATCCTATTAGCTAGGATTTTGTTGAGGATTTTGGAATCCATATTCATTGGTCTGAAATTCTCCTTTTTGATGGGGTCTTTGCCTGGTTTGGGGATTAAGGAATAAACCTAATCAAAGAGGTAAAGAATCTATACTCTCGGAACTACAGAACACTCATGAAAGAAATTGAAGAAGACACAAAAAGATGGAAAAACATGCCATGCTCATGGATCCGAAGAATAAACATTGTTAAAATGTCTATGCTACCCAGAGCAATCTATACCTTCAATGCTATCCTGATCAAAATTCCAATGACATTTTTCAAAGTGCTGGAACAAACAATCCTAAAATTTGTATGGAATCATAAAAGACCCCAAATCGCCAAGGAAATGTTGAAAAAGAAAAACAAAGCTGGGGGCATCACATTGCCCAATTTCAAGCTATATTACAAAGCAGTGATCACCAAGACAACATGGTACTGGCACAAAAACAGACATATAGACCAATGGAACAGAATAGAGAGCCCAAATATGGACCCTCAACTCTATGGTCAATAATCTTCAACAAAGCAGGAAAAAATATGCAATGGAAAAAAGACAGTCCCTTCAATAAAAGGTGCTGGGAAAATTGGACAGCTATATACAGAAGAATGAAACTCGATCATTCTCTAACACCATACATAAAGATAAACTCAAAATGGATGAAAGACCTCAATGTGAGACAGGAATCCGTCAAAATCCTAAAGAACATAGGCAGCAACCTCTTCGACATCGGCCACAGCCACTTCTTTCAAGATACATCTCCAAAAGCTAGTGAAACAAAAGCAAAAATGAACTTTTGGGACTTGATCAAGATAAAAAGCTCCTGCACAGCAAAGGAAACAGTCAACAAAACAAGGAGGCAATCCACAGAATGGGAGAACATATCTGCAAATGACACTACAGATAAAGGGCTGGTATCCAAGATCTATAAAGAACTTCTCAAACTCAACACCCAAAAAATAAATAATCAAGTCAAAAAATGGGCAGAAGACTTGAACAGACACTTCTCCAAAGAAGACATACAAATGGTTAACAGACACATGAAAAAATATTCATCATCATTAGCCATCAGGGAAATTCAAATCAAAACCACATTGAGATACCACCTTACACCAGTCAGAATGGCAAAAATTGACAAGGCAAGAAACAACAAATGTTGGAAAGGTTGTGGAGAAAGGGGAACCCTCTTACACTGTTGGTGGGAATGCAAGTTGGTACAGCCACTTTGGAAAACAGTGTGGAGGTGCCTCAAAAATTTAAAAACAGAGCTACCCTATGACCCAGCAATTATACTCCTGGGTATTTACCCCAAAGACACAGATGTAGTGAAAAGAAGGGCCATATGCACCCCAATGTTCATAGCAGCAATGTCCGCAATAGCCAAACTGTGGAGAGAGCCGAGATGCCCTTCAACAGATGAATGGATAAAGAAGATGTGGTCCATATCTACAATGGCATATTACTCAGCCATCAGAAAGGATGAATACCCAACTTTTACATCAACATGGATGGGACTGGAGGAGATGATGCTAAGTGAAATAAGTCAAGCAGAGAAAGTCAATTATCATATCGTTTCACTTATTGGTGGAACATAAGAAATAGCATGGAGGACATTAGGAGAAGGAAGGGAAAAATGAAGGGGGGGAATTGGAGGGAGAGATGAACCATGAGAGACTATGGACTCTGAGAAACAAACTGAGGGTGTTAGAGGGGAGAGGGTGGGGGGATGGGTTAGCCTGGTGATGGGTATTAAGGGGGGCATGTATTGCATGGAGCACTGGGTGTTATACAAAAACAATGAATCATGGATCACTACATCAAAAACTAATGATGTATTGTATGGTGACTAATATAACATAATAAAATAAAATTAAAAAAAAATAGAATGCATCCCATCCTGGTTTGCAGAGGAAAAATTATTCTCCTTCCTCTTTGCCTACATATGCTACTCTTCAGTCCCAGCGGGAAGGGTCCCTCCTCCCTGTGATGGGAACACTGTTCTGTCACCTTCATCCTTCCCAACCCCACTGCTCGTGTACTCGAGCTGGCAGTCCAGAAACCTGGAGTCATCCTTAACATTCTTTCTTTATATCCCACATTCAATTCTGCCTTCAGAATGCTGTGACCAGTGGTGGGAGGGTAAATGTGAAACAATCTACTCTCAGAAGGGAAAAGAAGCCTGATTGGTAGTGCTTGTGGACTTCTGTGGTGTCAACACTTCCACTATGACCAATTACAGGCTAACAGTGTTTAACAACTCACTTGCAAAATTCCTGAAAAGCTCTCAGGAGTGAGTGCAAGTCTCCTCCCACACCCCAGTGAGCTCCAGCCAGAATCTGCACACTGCTCACTCCCAGGGCTGCTTCCACCAGCATCCCTTCCTGGACTATTGCTTTTTCTCTAACAGGCTCTCCAGTTTAAGCCACAGTGATTCTATGGAAATGGAAGTCAAACTGTGTCTCTCTTCTACTTCTTCCCCCTATGCACCTGCATGACTCACTCACTCCCTCTTTCAAGCTCTGCTGACATATCACTTTATTAAAAGTCCTTTCCATAAACCACCCTATATAAGATATCAGTTCCTCTCTCACACTCTGTGTTCCCACAGCTCATAACCTAATTAAATTGTTTCCTTAGTACTTATGATTAGCTGACATGATAAGTGCTCACTTTGCACAATAGTGCAGGACAGAACAATGATGGTGCAGCTGAAACCATGCAAAGTCATCTCAATAATCAGTGGGAGAAAAACAATTTTTCTGTGACCTTTAAAAACATTTTTCAAAACACAGAAATTCTCCAACTGTCAGTTATGAATGTATAGAGAAATGAAAAAACAATAAAACTATTATTTATTTGGTGTACTGTCATTTCAAACATTAGAAACACTGAAAAGGGAAGTGTTTTATTTTTTTATAAAGAGTCATCAAGAGTAGTGTGCACAGTGCTTGACCTCTTCTGATCACATAGTTGACCATATAGAGCCAGCATCTGAATCACTCCAGTTTCAACTGGGATCAACTTCCAACATTCCATCCCTTCCACTTTTGATGTTGTGAAATCCTTACAATATTAATTTGAATATTTAATTAATTAATATTTATTAATTGAATAATTATTAATTTGACATTTTCACCCTTTGCCCCCCCCCCACAACCACCACCACGACTTCAGTGATGTTGTAAGTTTGCCTTCACTCTGCTCCTCTGGCTGCATATCCACACTCTGGGGACCAGGATCCCAGTTGCCATTCCCATGGTAGCTATGCCTTCATGAGCCCCACTCACATTCAGTTCAAACTTCACCTCCAGTCTCATCTCTTTTCATTTCTACATCACACTTTCAGCTTTGTGCCAATTCCCTTTTGCCACTATTCACTTTTGTACAATGCCTGGGTTCCTCACTGGGAGACCAGGAGACAACACAACCATCTGCATTGCTCTCTGTGGGAAAGTGAGTAACAGAGTCACAGAGAACCACCACTACAGGCTTTGAAAGATTTGATGCTTACTTATCATGATGAGCACCTGTTAGTTACATAGAGATTGGTGGCCTAAAGAAGAGGTGGCAGCAAAGTTTGTACATCATGCAATTGCTCATGGAAAATTCCTCCATGGGAAATGAAACTGAAACCAAGTTTTGGGGACTGATGGTATTTAACTGACCTGTGGAAACTGACATTCATGCATGTCAACACCATGCAAAGTGAGAACTGCCTGTGTGTGTTTGTCTCTTCCTCAAATAGGATGTGGACTCTGACAGAGAAGGGACTGTCTCAGTCCACAGTTGCCAGACAATGATGGCCATGTTTTAGGCCATCACATTTTTAAAAAATAAATTGGGGAATACTTCCTTGAAGACATCAGTTTTTACAAGATGTCAGGTTTTAAATAACATCTTTTTTCATTCCATCATCTGCTGCATGTACCTAAAACCATTTTGTTAAATATTACTACTCTCTTCTTGTGTTTAAAAATTCTATCAGAATTTCTTATCATCCTGAAAGTAAGCAAGTGGAACTTTAAAAAACAAAACAATAACCCACTAATTGGAGTATGTCAAACAGGTACAGGAACCTTCTGGTAGAGCTCCCGATGGTCAAAGTGTAACAGTTTGAGGAACAAATAAGTAAAGTAGTATATCTGGTTCTGTTCTGGTCTGAATGTTCTTGTCCCCACAAAATTCAAGTGTTAGAATACTCAAGCCCATATGATGGTGTTAGCAGGTGGGACCCCTGGAAGGTGAGCAGGTCATTAGGGCTCCACCCTCATGATGGGGATTAGCCCTTATAGAAGAGGCCCCCCAGAGCTCCCCAGCCACTTCAGCCATGTGAGGACACAAAGAGAAATCTGTAGAGGGCCCTCTCCCAACCACGCTATCTCCATGATCTCAGACTCCAGCTTCCTCAGCTGTGAGCAAGAGCTTTCTTTTGTTTATTTGCCGCCCAGTCTGGGACATTTTGTTATAGCTGCCTGAATGACTAAGACTGACTATAACCCCATATATGAAATAAATAACTTTGAGCCCATATTGATATAAATAAATAATTGAATAAATTAATAAATTGAGAGAAGAAAAAATATCCTGTTCATAAAGTCCCAAATGATTTAACTAGATACTTCACCCTCAGGAGAGGACCCTAACTGCCCATGAATGAAGGGCAGGCTGCTTGTTGTGACTCCCTTCCAAAGAGGACAAAATGGAAAGGAGGAAAAAGGAGTAACTACAGAGGGGACCCCTGAAAAATACAGTTCAGCCAGGTGATCATGAGTTCACCAGCAGTCATAAACCACGGCCACAGTGTGCTCCCTGATATAATGTGATAAGAGCGGCACTTTTCCTCTGTGATCTTCCTCCCCAAGCTCATCACCCCGGTCTGCTTAAGAGAAATGCATCCGACAAATTGCAACGACATTCCACCACATAGCTGAGCAGCACACCTCAAAACTGTCAGGCCATCACCATCAGGGAAAGTTGGAGAGGTTGTCACAGATGAGAGAAACCTAATGAGACATGACAAATAAATGTAATGTGGTATCTTGCATGGAATTCTGGAACAGAAAGGGACATGGGGTAAAAACTAAGGAAATCTCTTCTGGAGTGAATGTCTCTGTCTCTCCAAAGTGCATGTGTTGAAATCTAATCCCCAGTGTGATGGGATTTGGAGGTGGGATCTTTGACAGGTAATGAGGTCTTGAGGGCAGAGATCTCACGAATGGGATCAATGCCCTCATGAAAAGAGGCCAGCCAGCTCACCCCATCCACCACGTGAGAATGTAAGTTGTCAGCAGTCTACAGCCACAGAGGCTTCTCATCACAACCCAACTATCCTGGCACCCTGATCTCAGACTTCCAGCCTCCAGGACTGTGAGAAGTAAGTTCCTGTTGTTTCAAGGCATCCAGTTTATGGTGTTTTGTTATAGCAGCCCAAGCTAAGATAAAATCTAAATATACTATGGACTTTGGTTAATAATAATGTACCAATATTGGCTCATTAATTATCACAGATGTACCACACTACTGTCAGATGCTAATAAGAGGGGAAACTGTGTGCAGCTGTGTACAGCTGGAACTCTGTACTATTGTCACAATTTTATTCTAAATGTAAAACTGTTTCAAAAATTATGTCTATTAAAAAGTATGTCAACATCTTGTCCTCAGCTGGATCTCTGCTTCTTGCCCCTCTTTGGGTGACAAGGCAAGGAAATGTGCAGTGGGGAGACTTCTGTGTTTCTATACCCAAGTTTTATCTGACTTCACAGCTCTGAGGTTCATTCTCCTCCTTCCTCTGTCCTCTGCTAGAGCTCACTCCAAAGCCAGGCACTCAGAGATCCCAGAAGAACCTGCTTCTCAGTCCCCCATGATATTCATCCTAAATGTTTCCAATTAGTAAAGCCCAGGTTAGACCAAGAGGGGTCAGAGAACTCTGGACGCTTGGGTGAGGTGGGGTAGCTTTAGGAGCTCAGAGGGGGATGCAGTTAATCCATGTCCTGAGCCCAAGGAATTGAGGTGGAAGGGGCTGTGCAGAGGGTGGGGGAGGTTGCGATGCACTAGGCCTGAGCAGATGGCCCTCAGCTGTCAGCTCTCTTTGGGATGGCCTCAGTTGAGGAGAGCCACCATGCCCAAGGTCATGCCTGGGACATTGCCACATCCAGTGGCTCATCAACATGGGGATGTAAAGGTCCAGCCTCTCAACCCAGCTCAGAACTCTGAAGAAACATCCTAGCACCAGAGCTCCACAGGAGATCAACTGAGGTCTTCTTTAGGACTTCACTGCTGCTCAACTTCTTCTAAACAATTCCGCTCCCTGCTCCTCCTAGCTACCATTGGATCCTAAAGTACTCCCTGAAAATGACCTGCTTATTAATATTCCTCTCAACACCTGTTTCCCAGGGAACCTGATGTGAAGGGGACAGGCTGTGGTGGGTACCAGAAAAGGTGGGGATCCTTTTTTCTCTAAGTGCTAAGGAAGTCATTGAAGGATGGATTGTTTACCCTATCACTTACCATATATCATATACAACATACCAGACACATATGCCATATATAATATACCATATACCACATACCATGTACCACACCATATGCCATATACAATATACCATATACCACATATCACATACCACATGGCATATGCAATGTACCATTACCAAATACCACATACCATACACCATATACCACATATCACATACAACATACCATATAAGGTATACCACATAGTATATGCCATAGACCATATACAATACAGCAAACAGTCTTAATAAACAAGAGCAATGAAAATCTACAAAATTGTTTATACAAAAAAAGGGATTTACTCAGATCTGTGTTGTAGTAGACCCTGGATAAAGTAGAAGTAGAGCTTACAGTGGGCAAAAGATTTGGGGATAGCCTATTAGGAAGTAATAGTTTTCATTCACACCAGAGATGACAATGGAGATGGAGTAACAGATTCAATAAGTGTTTAGGAGGTAAAACTAACAGGGTCTGGTAATTTGTAGACAAGAGTGGACAACTGAGGATGTAGAACACGGGCCTCTTCTTGGTTTGATCAAATGGGTAGAGGATGTGCCACATACTGAAGGGGAGAAGAAATTGTCCAAGTGCAGACTATAAACACCTTTGAATATTTCAGCTATACAAATGAAAATTTCATGGTCAAAGGATATATAAGCCAGCCACCAAAAAGTGGATTCAGGATTGGAACCTAAACTACATCTGGTTGCAAAGCCAATGCTCCTGACCATCAAGGCACTAAAAATCCCAGACTCTGTAGAGTTTAGAGTCTGATGGGAGGTGTGAAGTCTGCTGAAGGTGGGAGGAAGTGTAGTATTCTGGACCTTGAGGAAAGATCCTGTACAACCCACAGCAGGGCGCATGGATGGCATCCCAGCATGGAATTCATCATTCCAGAACAATGTGATAGGATGTGACATCATAAGGGGAGAGGAGTCTTCTCATCTCCTATATGCAGTTTGGGCCTGCTGTGGACTCTCCTCTTGTTCTAACACCTCTCTTGGCCTAAACATCCTATTGATCCCTGAGGAGGCATGGCTCACAAGGAAGCAACAGTGAAATCACCCTAGCTGTCAGTGCCTGACTATGGACTCGTGGACACTAAAGGGTCACCAGCTGAGTGTGGACTGAGAGTCCCAACACAGTCTTTGTGCTTGGGTAGAGCCCATTGCAGAGGTGAGAAAGAAAGAAGCCAGCATGCTTGTTCCTTTCTCTTTCTAAGAATGTTTCTTCTGTTCCTCTACTTTATCCCCCAGAGCTAGCCCCAGACCCAGCACAGACAGCAGAGGCAGCCCTCACATTTCAGTTGTGTTTCTAGGTGTATTACTTTCCCTCTTGCAGAGTGTTGCCCCAGCCCCACCTTCCCTGTAGCCCCTTCCATTCTCTAAGACACAAATCATCACCATCTCCAAAACTCTAACCTCTTTCCCACACCATGTCTCTGGACCTCTACATCAGCAGGGGTGCAGGTTGGTGAGATCTCAGTTGGGATGAGGCTCAGGAGTGAGCACAAGTCTATGACATGCTTTTAACTATGGAAAATCAATCATTTCTAGTAGCAACTTCTCAGCTTGTGGCCACCTTGCCTGTCCATTTTATAATCTCAAAGAAAAACTGTTTAAGTCCCATGGTCTTTCCTCTCATCACAATCCCCTTCCTCTGACATCATGGAGGCAGGGAGTGTCTTCTCTCCTCAGAGCAGAGAGTCCTGGGTCTCTCCAGGACAACACTCAGACAGAGAAGTCTCTAGGGCCACCATGATGCATGTCCCTGCCTCCCGATCCTGCCCACCTCTGCCATCTCTGCTGCTGACTCTGCTGGTGAGATTCACAGGTGAGTTGTGGCTCAGGTATGTGTGATGAGGACTCCCCTATGCTTGTTTACTGTGTTCACCTCACCTGTTTGCCTAGAATTTCCTGGGGGAGGGTTTTCTCTAATCCATCCAGAATTTATATAACTAGATTGGAATGGCTCCCCGTTCACAAAATCTCCCAGTGGCTGAGTCTGTTCCACACGCTTTTGTTCAGGGAATGGGCACACACTAATGGTCACAGGGCTGAGCACAGCACACACATCAGAACTCTCATCCCCCATCCCCTGGGAACAAAGAACATGTCTTTCAAATTTATTACCACCACACAGATGCAACTTCTCAATGAAGAAAAGCATGTTGGAGAACACGAAATTATAAAGCAAGAAAAGAATTCACAATGCTTCCATCCTAAGATAATCACTGTTAAAAATTTGCAGAGGTTTCCATGCTCATGGAATATTGGCCAGAAGTGGTCACTAGAGGTCTCTGGTTCAGCGTTGGAAGCTGAATCCTGCAGGCTCTTCAGAGAACTAAGCAGTTCTGCCTCTGCTTGTTGAAAAAGCTAAAGAAGCATGTGGAGTCTCTTTCCCAAGCCCATTGGTCCATGTTGGCAGAGGCTTTGAGTCCCAATTGCCACAGCAGATGGCTTGAGGGATTTAGATCAGATGAAAGAGGAACCCAAGACCTTTATCTGAGTATAAGCAAAGAGGAAGAAAGCTTGGATGTTTTAGGAAAGAATAAAATACATGAGACACACACACCCACTGGAGAATGTTACCAAACATTTAAATGTGAATAGCAAGTTCATAAAATCTCTTCCAGAAAATAGAAGACGAGGAAACACTTCCCTGCTCATTTGATGAGGCCATTATTACCTTGATAGAAAAACCAGATAGACTGTACATAAAAAAATAACTACAGACCAATATCTCTCATGAATCTAAATGCAAGAATCCTGAACAAAATTTGGCAAATAGAATTTCGAATGTGTAAAATTATATACCATGACTAAGAAGGATTTATTTCAGGCATGCAAAGCTGTTTCAACATTTGAAAATCAATCACCATAATCCATCACATCAAATTAAAGAAGAAAAATTGCATGATATTATCAATTGATGCAGAAAATCATTTGACAAATCTAACACATATTCATGATGCAAACTTAGCAAAGTAGAAATAGGAGGGAACTTCCTCAGTTTGATGAACATTTACAAAAAACCCTGCATCATTATACTTAATGGTGGAAGACTGTTGTGGGGTTTTTTGTTTTGTTTGGTTTTTTGTGAGATAAAGACTGAGGAAGGACGTGCCTACTCACAACTCTTATTCAACGTAGTACTAGAAATTGCAGGAGAGAGAGGGACAGGAAGAAAGGAATGGAGGAGAAAGGGAAGGGAGAGGAAGGGAAGGGAAGGGAAGAGAAGGGAAGGGGGCAGGGAAAGAAGTTGAAAAGGAAGAAAAAAAACTTCCCTTATTTGCAGATGACATGATTGTCTACATAGAAAATCCCAAAGAATCTACTTAAAAAAAAAAAAAACTCTTACAGTTAATAAGCACATTAAGCAAGGATACAAGATCAACATACAAAAATCAGTTATGGCTTGCCTCAGGCTTCCTAGTGGCCACCTCTTGAGGCCTCACCTCCACGCTGGACACCTCCAGTCTGGTCAGCCTCCTTGGCTTCCATGAGACGTGAGCTGAGCAGTTAAGCTAATAGCCGAGATTCAGGCAGGACTTTTCCGACGCCCCAGGGCCCTTCTTGCCCTGGGACTACCCCATCTCCAGCAATTTATTTATTTGAGAGGAGCAAGATGGTGTAGGAGTAGGAGACCTAAATTTTGTCTGGTCCCAGGAATTCAGCTGGATAGGTAACAAACCATTCTGAACACCTACAAACTCAACAGGAGATCGAAGAAAAGAATAGCAACAACTCTCTGAACAGAAAAGCGACCACTTTCTGGAAGGTAGGACGTGCGGAGAAATGAATCCGAGGCGATATTCGGGAGGATAGACGGCGGGGGAGGGGGCCTCCATCCGCCACTTCTGGCAAGTGATAGAGCTGCGGAGCACAAAATCGGAACTGTTAGAAGTCGGCTCCGCTGAGGGACGTCGCTCCAGTGGCTAAGCGGGGGGTGGAACCCTCGCAGGACAGTGTGGTCTCAGGACCCTCGGGGTCACAGAAAGACTGGGGTGCCTGAGTGCGGCAGAGCTCCCAGGTATTGGAGCAGGGAAGCTGGCTGCAGAGACGGAGCCGAGGCGCGGGCTCTCAGCTCGGGGTTGCCATAAACTGTGATCAGTGACAGTCGGGCCACTGCTCCTCCAGCAGGGACCCAACAAGCGGCAGATCCGGGGAGACTCCCCTTCCTCCCCTGGGAGGAGTGGCTCAGGAGCGCACCGCAGGGATCTCCTGGGTTTGGAGACTCCACACTGAGTCGGGTGCCAGAGATAGAAACGCTTGGTCACAGGCCGGGTGAGCACAGAGTGCAGACGGAGACCGGGGAGACGGGAGTGACTGACTGCTTTTCTCTGGGGGCGCACTGAGGAGTGGGGCACTGAGTTCTCGGCTCCTTGGGGGGGAGATTAGGAGGCCGTCATTTTCACTCTCATCCTCCAAATCTGTACGGAAAGCTTACAGGGAACAAAAGCTCCCGAGAGTAAACCCGAGCAGATTACTTAGCCCCGACCCACAAGGGCGGGGCAATTCCGCCTCCGGCAAAGACATTTGGGAACCATGGCAACAGGCCCCTCCCCCAGAAGATCAGCACAAACAGCCAGCTAAGACCAAGTTTACGGATCAATGAGAACGGCAAAACTCCAGCGCTGGGGGAATACTGCACATAGAATTCATGGCTTTTTTCCCCTGATGCTTTAGTCTTTCAAAGTTAATTTTTTTAATTTTCTTTCTTTTTTTCTTTTTCTATTTTTTAGTTGAATTTTTCTTCTTTCCTTTTTCAACCAATATCTTATCGATTCCTTTCTTAAAATCTTTTTTAATTTTCATTTTTACAGTCATATTCTCTCTTCATTGTATTTAACCTTATATTTTGTATATATATAAGTTTTTCTTTCTTTAAAATTTTGGGATACAGTTTCTTCTAACAGATTAAAAGATACCCTAAATCTAGTGTATAACATTGTCCTAGTCTCCCACCTGATTCACATTCTCTTTTCTTTTTTAATTTTTTTCATTCTTTTTTTCAACCAACTTCTTATCAGTTCCTTCTTTAAAATCTTTTTTAATTTTCATCTTTATAGTCATATTTCATCCCTTCATTGTATTTACCCTAATTTTTGTATGTATATAAGTTTTTCTTTCTTTAAAATTTTCTATAAAATTTCTTTCTTTTAAATTTTCTTTCTTTCTTTAAAAGAGGCAATTTCTTCTAGCAGACCAAAATACACCCAGAATCTAGTGTGTGGCTCTGTTCTATTCACCAGCCTGATCATATTTTTTTTTCCCTTTCTTTCCCTCACGGTTTCGGGTCACTTCTGATTTGTTTAGTGTATATTTTTCTGGGGCCATTGTTACCCTGTTAGCATTTTGTTCTTGTGTTCATCTATTCTCCTCTGGACAAAATGACAAAACAGAAAAACACACCTCAAAAAAAAGAACAAGAGTCAGTACCAACTGCCAGGGACCTAATCAATACAGACATTAGTAAGATGTTGGAACTAGAGTTCAGAATGACAATTATAAAGATACTAGCTGGGCTTGAAAAAAGCATGGAAGATACTAGGGAAACCCTTTCTGGAGAAATAAAAGAACTAAAATCTAACCAAGTTGAAATCAAAAAGGCTATTAATGAGTGCAAACAAAAATGGAGGCTCTAACTGCTAGAATAAATGAGGCAGAAGAGAGAATTAGTGATATAGAAGACCAAATGATGGAAAATAAAGGAACTGAGAAAAATAAAGATAAACAATTACTGGATCACGAGGGGAGAATTTGAGAGATAAGTGATACCATAAAGCGAAACAACATTAAAATAATTGGGATCCCAGAAGAAGAAGAAAGAGAGAGGGGGGCAGAAGGTATATTAGAGCAAAATATAGCAGAGAACTTCCCTAATTTGGGGAAGGAAACAGGCATCAAAATCCAGGAGGCACAGAGAACCCCTCTCAAAATCAATAAAAATATGTCAACACCCGACATCTAATAGTAAAACTTACAAGTCTCAGAGACAAAGAGAAAATCCTGAAAGCAGCTTGGGAGAAGAGATCTGTAACCTACAATGGTAGAAACAATAGATTGGCAGCAGACCTATCCACAGAGACCTGGCAGGCCAGGAAGGACTGGCATGATATATTCAGAGCACTAAATGAGAAAAATATGCAGCCAGGAATACTATATCCAGCTAGACTGTCATTGAAAATAGGAGAGATAAGCTTCTAGGACAAACAAAAACTAAAAGAATTTGCAAACACCAAACCAGCCCTACAGAAATATTGAAAGGGTTCCTCTAAGCAAAGAAAGAGCCTAAAAGTAACATAGACCAAAAAGGAACAGAGACAATAACAGTAACAGTCACCTTACAGGCAATACAATGGCACTAAACTCATATCTTTCCATAGTTACCCTGAATTTAAATGGGATAAATGCCCCAATCAAAAGAAACAGGGTATCAGATTGGATAAAAAAAAAAAAAAACAGACCCTTTGGTATGCTGTCTGCAAGAGACTCATTTTAGACCCAAAGATACCTCCAGATTGAAAGTGAGGGGGTGGAAAACCATTTTCCATGCTAATGGACATCAAAAGAAAGCTGGGGTGGCAATCCTTACATTAGACAAATAAGATTTTAAACAAAAGACTATAATAAGAGATGAGGAAGGACACTACATCATACTTAAAGGGTCTATCCAACAAGATCTAACAGTTTGGGGCACCTGGGTGGCTCAGTCATTAAGCGTCTGCCTTTGGCTCAGGTCATGATCCCAAGTTCCTGGAATGGAGCCCCACATCGGGCTCCCTGCTCAGTGGGAAGCCTGCTTCTCCCTCTCCCACTCCCCCTGCTTGT